GGGGGGGGGGGGGGGGAGGGTCAAACTTACCCTTACTACGACCTTCACATTCTTTCAGATCCTCTCTCTTCTCCTCTCTGCTCTGCTCGGTTCTTCTCTGAGTCCTCTCAGCCCACTTCTCATCTCATCTCACCTGTTCTCGCCTGTTAATAATAATAATAATAATAATAATAATAATAATTAATATTAATAATATTAATTAATAGTATTTTTTTAATGTCCATCTCAGTTCTCCTCCGTTCTTGTCCTCTCCTTTCGTTTCCTCTCCACTCTCATCTCACCTCTCCTCACCTGCTGACTCCTCTGCTCTTCCCTGGTCGGCTTTGCTCTGCTCTACTCTATCTCAGTACTCCTTTGTTCTGTCCTCTCCTTTCCTCTCAGCCCACTTCTCATCTCACCTCTCCTCACCTGTTGACTCCTCTACTCTTCCCTGGTCGGCTTTGCTCTGCTCTACTCTATCTCAGTACTCCTTTGTTCTGTCCTCTCCTTTCCTCTCAGCCCACTTCTCATCTCTCCTCTCCTCACCTGCTGACTCCTCTACTCTTCCCTGGTCGGCTCTGCCGGCTCTGCTCTACTCTATCTCAGTTCCCCTCTGTTCTTGTCCTCTCCGTTCTTGCCTTCTTTTTCTCCCTTCTAGGGTTATCTTTAATCTACTAAGCCCTAGTTACTCTCCAAAATTACTTCATTGCCCCGTATAGCTCTGGAGAGACTTTAACCGCTCACCTACCTTGATCTTCCTTTTAAAACTTAAATCCCTTTATTATGTCGGCCAAACATGCTTAGTAGTATATGACTGTTATACGCGGAGTGCGCTGATCTGTATTCTGTTAGATGGACACTGACCCATACCGGACTACTGAATTCTGATTACAGACAAAAAATTACGCCAAATGACTGAGGACGAATCATGCAACGTTTAATAACTAGTTTTTAAGCAGTTGGTTATTTCATGACGTGTTCACACCTACTTGCATGCCGTGGTTCTTTTTCTACAATTACCACAGCCGTAAGTATTTCTACCAATCACCACCGAACAGATTCGTGTCTTCATCACAGTATTACCAAGTAGGTGTAGTGGTGTAAAAGATAGCCCCTACCAGGCGTTCAGTTAGTAGGGGCGCAGTATGAAAAATGGCGCACGAAAAAAAGGGGAGAAGCGCGGCGCGAGAAGGCGAGACTGAGAGCGCATGTGAGTATTTTTAACAAAAAGTCCTTCCCTCACTTATAGACTGCCTATAGGGTGTTTGTTGTTTTCGCTTTATGAGGGGAAACGACGACCAACGAAATCGAAATACCCAAAGCCACAAATCCATCTAGAATGGACACAATTTGCGCCCAAAATAGAGGGGAAGAATTCAACTCCTTCATTTTAGCATGTTAAGGACTAAAGTGAATTTCCCATACAAAGTCCATAAATTATTCGTCGCATATCAAGGCCGCTATTGAATCAGCAGTCGAACACTGACCTTGGGTGGCGTGTGGTTTCACCGGCCCCGGATGTGATTGTAATAACTCCGAACAAGAATTTCTTCAGCATTCAGAAACTTCAGAATATCTCCTTCGGTGAGCGACACGAACTGTTTGTGCGCTTCCCTTCATATCTGAAATAGAAGACGCAGTGTAGGAGGACAAGGGGCGCTTTCTATTTGACCAAAAATTCCGGTGTGAATTTCCGGAAATTTCCATGGGCGAATGGTACAGACTTTTCCAGTATGGAAAACGACAGGCCGCACAGTTTCGTTCGCTTGGAATTTAGAAGCAAACAGAACACTGATATGTCGACATCGTGACTTTTTATAGATCACAACAGCATGGACCTTATACAAACGAAAACGGGCGCAGCGAAAACGTCGCAAAGCAAAGGGTTTGATGAGTC